ATATATATATATATATATATATATATATATATATATGTGAGAGCATATGTATATATATATATGTGAGTGCATATGTTCATGACGCTCGAAATGCGGAAGCGGTGCGGATTGTTTCGTGTTGTAGCTGTTTTTAGATGGTATGGTGTATTGAGAGCTATCATGCAGTTTGGCAAAACTATGTCTGTTCATACTTTCGGCGCATATCTGTTTTTGTTAGTATGTCGTGATAGTTCAACTCCGAAAAAACAAAAGCTAAGAAACTGGGATTTAGGATTGTTCTCGATCCGGTAACAAAAAGTTACTTCCATGCTCTCCCGATCCTCAAGCAGTGAGCATGAAAGATATAAACAACTACAGAACATCTTGCCAGTACAGTCATGATATATTTTTAAATCTTTATTCACAACTAAGCTACATAATATCATCCGACCAACTGGTAATAAATAGCGAAGCGCACCAGGGTAGCCGGTGCGATCATGCGTTTTGCGCAGTTCCATCCAGCGAACGTTTGTTTACCAAAAATATAACTGTTTTACACTTTCGCATATGAAAACACAGTAGAAATGCTGTCTGGCTTCTAAGGTGAGGAATTTCCTATTAAAAATTTCATGTGCCGATACGTGAAAGCTGAATCTGAAAAAAATGGATGGGGGAGCATCTTTGAAAATTTCAACCCTCTAGTTTTTTGGCTTCCGATCTAGAAACTTTCACATAAAAATCTCACGTGGCCTTACGTAAGACCTCAGTTTAGCTCCCGAAAGGAAATGTTTATGACTTAGTGGGCCGAAACATTTCTCACCTAAACAAATATTTCTTTAGACCCCCTTCCCATTTTATTATCCTTTTCCTCCTTTTCATCATTTCCTTCTCCTGATATTTTCTTTTCAACCTTTAATATTTGGGAGCTAAATTTGAATTTGCGAGATACCCGCAGCGGCAGAAAATATAGTCCTGAAATTTCGGCTTTCTAGCTTTCATGGTTTCTGAGATAATTTTCCGCAAATACTTTCACGGAGCCGTACGCGATACCCAAGGGCAAGGGAGAACTGAATTTAAATTTTCTGGATTGCACGTGGTCAAGGGGCATTCCCATAAAATTTCAGTTCCATGGCCTCCACGACTCTTGAAATAATGATTTTACCCGCTAAAACTTTTATGAGGCCGTGCGTGTTACCCGCAGGCGCGGGGAGGTTGTATTTAAGTTCTCTGGGTCGCACGTGGGCAGAGGGCATATCCACAAAACTTCAGTTTCCCAGCTTTCGTAGTCCCCGAGGTAATAATTCTCCCGCCGAAACTTTACAGAGGCGTACGTGCTACCTGCAGGAAACGAAAGGTTGACTTTAAATTTTCTGGATCCTACGTAGGCAGAGGACATACCCCACAAAATTTTAGTTTCCTAGCTCTCCTGGTTTACAAGATAATGATTTTACCTGCCAAAAATTCCAGAAGCCGTAAGTGTTATCCGTAGGTACAGGAAGATTGGATTTGAGTTTTCTGGATCGCATGTGGTCAGGGAACATACCCATAAAATTTCAACTTCCTAGCTTCCGTAGTTCCCGAGATGCTGATTTGACCCGAAAAACTTTTACGGGGCCGTACGTGTTATCCACGGATACGAGGTGGCTGAATTTTAATTTGCCGCATCACCCGTTGGCGGGAACGCTATGCTAAAATTTCAGCCGCCTAGCTTTTGTGATTCGCGAATTGAAAGTGTGGGACAAAATGTGGGAGACACACACAGACACATACAGACAACCTCGTGACAATTTGCGTTTTGTACTGCTGTAAACAACACAAAACGCACTGAAATCTATGTTTTAGCAAATTCATTTACTGTGCTGTAGCAATAGCTTACCAGCTGTAGACGGTGCGCATAGCTTTTTATGCTTAAATCAATTATTCATAGAAGATCGGCATATTACACTTAAAATTAGACCATATTTTAGAATGGCGGGTTCCGGATGTACCCGAGAATGTACGCTGGAAGACGAGTGGAAGCAGTGCAACACTGTGGTGGGATCCGCCCTCTACGGCTAACGAAATCCTCGTGCGTGGTTATACGATATCGTACGGAATCGGGACACCCAGCCGACGTGTTATCATTGAAGGGGCTAACACTAACGCATTCACTATCAATGCACTTAGTTAGCTTTTGATAAATTCAGTTGCTCTTTTGGACAATATATGTGCGTACGGGCATCTACCATCTGCAAATTTTGACCCCTCAACCAAACTATTTTTCCCCATAATTTTGAAACGAGAGTTTACTAGAAGTTTTTTGAGTAACGGTAAAAGGTTATGTGTCGAAGTCAAAAGCTGGAATCACGCTCCGCAATTCAACCGCTCTGAGAGATGAAAGCACAGAAAGGTAGCCCGGGTAACAGCAAGTACTGGAAGTATCCATGTGCTAGCAGGGCTCTTAACTGCACCCTCTCCTACAGATTGTTACTGTAAGCAAGCTGAAGGCGGAACACTTTGTTGGCTACATAATTTTGAAAAACTAAATTTTTGGATTTTTTTATTTTTTGGCCTTATTTAAACAGTTTTCCAGACTCATTATTGATTACAGTCATACAAAGTGCCACTAACTTTTATTATTAGTGTATCCAATCGATGGGTCAAAAAATTTTGGAAATGTTTCTATCAATTTTGCAATTCTTGGCCATATGACTTGTTTAGTAGCAAACGCATATCTGTGACAAAGTGCACGTTTTGCTTACAAAAACAAAAGAAGCACAAAAACTATGAGCCGACTATTTTATACTTAGATTATTTTTGCAAGTAAAATGTATTGCGCTGACCGCCAGGCAACAAATCATGATCTTCCAGAATTTACGGCCAGTGCTGCAAAATTTTGCATTAGAAGACTCACGATAGAAGTCTCATTTTTGCTCTAGTCAAAAAGTGTCTGTCATTAATTCATTTTTTGCCTCTTAGTAATACCTTTTATTTCACTAATTGTCATCTTTTAATTCGCATATTTTCCAGAGCCAAATACTACGTATGTTTTCGCACTAACTGCGTATAATGAAGCGGAAGGTGAAGATTCAGAAAAAGTACTGTTCACTGCTACCACCGAGGTTGAAAGGAGTTCAGGTGAGATTATCAAAAATGAACCAGTTTATTTGGAGAAACTCCAAAAACTGCTGTTTTTCCAAATTTTTTGCCTACTGCTTGCGCATTTGAGACTGGTTACCAAT